ATGTGACGCCCCCCCCGACCCCCCGGGGCCCCACTGTCCTTCTCCTGGAGTCCCCCCCTGTCTCTGTGCTCCAGTGTCCCGTGCCCCCACTGCTTGGTGACCCACAGTGCCCCAGGTCCCTGCTATCCCTGTGTCCGTGTCACCCATTTGTCCCCCCCTGTGGTGCCCCATCTCCCCTCTGTCTCAATGTCTCTAGTCCATACTTTCCTTGTCCCTGTGGCACCCCATATCCCCACTGTCCTGATGTCCTGCGGTGCCTGTGTCCCCACTGTCCCCATGCTCACATCCCTGCTGTCCCCACTATCCCCATACCCATGACTCCACTGTCCTCATACCCTTGTCCCTGTTGTTCCTGCTGTCCTGATGCCCCATGGTGCCCCGTGTCCCCATATCCCCCATGTTCCCCCCCTGTCCCCACAGCCCTGCTGTCTCCCTGTCCCCATGATGTCCCCTGTCCCCACAGACTGCAGCCTCCAGGATGAGCAGTTCTCCCTGGTTTTCACCATTGGCTCCTTCATGAACAACTTCATGACCTTCCCCATGGGCTTCATCTTCGACCGCTTCGGCACCACTGTCGCCCGTCTCATTGCCATGTCAGTGGGGGGGCACTGAGGGGGTCCCCCGGGGGGCTGGGGGGACCACTGAGAGAGGTTTATCCAGGCAGTGATGAGAGGTGGGGTGGGCGGGGTCCTGCTACCTTGGGGCACCTTGATGGCTGGGGGGGTCACCCAGTGCCTCCCCCAGCACCCCATTGCCCCAGGGCACACCTCCCCTCCATGTCCCTGTGTCCCTTGGCCCTGGGATGCAGGTGGCTGTGGGACACCCATGAGATATGGGATGCTGGGTGTGGGGGGTGTCAGTTGTGCCCCTGTCCCCATGTGTCACCACTATCTCCTTATCCCAGCTCCCTCTACACTGGTGGGACCCTGCTCGTCGCCTTCTCCACCCCAGGTGAGACCCCACAGGCACTGGGCACCTTGGCCCGGGGGGGAGAACCAAGTGGGACCCCCCCCTCAGTGTCCCCACTGACCCTGGTTGGGTCCCACTAACCTCTGTGTCTAGAGATGGCAGTGCTGCTCTTCCCGGCCATGTCCATGCTATCAGTGGGTGGCATCCTCCTCATCCTCACCAACATGCAGGTGAGTTGTCTGGGCTCCCCTGACCTCCCTACGGTGGGGGAGTGGTCCCTGCCTGGCACCGGGGGGACCCTGATGACACAGGAGGGTTCTCTCGGGGGCAGGTAGGAAACCTCTTTGGGAAGTACCGCTCCATCATCATCACCCTCTACAACGGAGCCTTTGACTCCTCCTCCGCCATCTTTCTCATCATCAA